TATTCAGGAGTTTTTCTTTGATTCCAATTCCGATGAGGATTTTGAAGGCTTTATTCAAGCGGATATTAACGGTGGAGTGATCGGAGATGGAGATGATGACCACGCTATTTACCGGGAGATAAGTTTGATAACCCCGAGGTGCGGAGCGGCTATTATCACCCATGGCTGACTAATTTTAACGAAGCTACTGCCCCACCCTGGATGTACCCGATAGACTTTCTGAAGGTGAATTATTTCGTCTATTTATCAACGACAAAACAATAACTTTATTTGTCAACGCGAGAAATAAATATGCAAGTCAAGTGAATGAAAGAGGGAACAAATGCTGGTGTCTATTCGTATGTAAACACGAGGAAGGATACACGTTTGACGAAATGAAAACTTATCCATTTGCACATTAGAACCACACAACGAATAATAAAATTTAAAGTATGTTAAAGCGCTAATGTATTTGATTTTTTTATTTTTTGTTTTTTTGTTTCCATTTTTTGTTTTCAACGTCAAAACAGGCATGCAAAACGTAATGCATTACATAATATCCCTCATCCATTCTTTTATTAGTGTACAAAAATTAAAATCTATACACACAATACAAAGTAAGTAAAAACAATTTTAAAACAGTAGGCGTTCATGTTTTTTGCGCCCTCAAAAATGAACTGGGGGAACTATTCTAGAAAGAATTTGGTGGGGGGGGGTAAAGTTAATGACTACACAAAAACTTTGATCCCCAGTGGATCACGGTTTCTGTAACGAAAAGGAAAGAAGAGCGTTGAATAGAAAAAAAATATACTTTTTTTGTCATTTCACCCGAAGAAAGGCAATAAAGCCTCTAAGTCGAAGGGGATTACTGAATGTTAGGGGATATAAAAAAATTCTATTAAGGAGAGAATGCAATAAAACAACAAGAAGACAAAAGATAATGTTTGATATTGCATTTAAATTTTTGAAGATGAAAGCTGACTGGGAACCAAGGAGCCGGAAGAGAGTTCCACAATCGAGAAGTGCGAGAGAAGAAACTGTTAGCATAGAACTTACGGTTACATCTTGTCATTTCAACTGTAAAATGATGAGACCTTTGTGTTAATCTCGTGTTTAGAGGAAAGTCCATCAGAACAATTATTATAAAAGTATTTATAGAAAAAGCATAACAAATCTACGTTACAACGCTAGAAAGTTACATTTTGATAAATGTCGTTTAAATCAATTTAATTTATATTTGTTTCTATATCTCTTCTGCCAGAGTACCATTGTATATATATATATATATATATATATATATATATATATATATATATATATATATATATATATATATGCTCAAGTATAGTGCAATCATTTTTCACGCAAAAAATAAGGCAGTGGCACTATACACAGGTAATTTTTTAAAGAGTTTAAAAATAGTGCATTTTCGTTAACCGCTTGCATTATACATAGGTAAAACTTTTCCGGGAGGGTTAAAATTCGTCCAAAAAAAATGCAAGTGTTGCACTCTACAGAGCAATGAAGTCGCCTTATACACGAGTATATACGGAAACTTATACTTAAATTGATATAAATTCCCTGCAAAAATTCATTGAATAATGAATGCAGACAAATCCTGAAAATCTCTTGCGTCTGTCCACTTTCTAAAATGATAAAAAAAAATAAATAGAATTATTTTGGAATCAGTTCTTGGTCGAGCCGAGAACTTTTCAGCACACCATCGTAAATATGCGTAAACACGAATACACATATTTATATTTCCCACACACACACACACACACACACACACACACACACACACACACACACACACACACACACACACACACATGCACACACACACCACACGCACATGCACACACACACACACACATGCACACACACACACACACATGCACACACACACATATATATATATATATATATATATATATATATATATATATATATATATATATATATATATATATATATTGGTGGATAATGGAGCAGCTGAAAATAGTTGCAGCTTCGATTAACGATGTGCAGGAGTTTCCATCGATCAAGTCCGATCAGCAGAATAATATGGCAGATATCTGTGCAATTCAGCACCGCTTCATCACCGCATCGAATATAAATGCGTTGAGGCTCCATTGCCATTCGTCTTCTAAACCTTTGTGACGAACGACATTGCACTTCCTATCACAGACAGGAGACATCCGCATCTCCTTCTAAAATTGTGTCAATATTCTATCCTCTTCTAAGCGATACCATTCCTGCGAGCTGAGATTCAAAAGAAAGATCTTCCAGTTCAAAGAATTGGGTTTGTCGGCCATTTTCTCACTTTTTTTTTTTTAATTCAGTTTTTTATTACTGACACTAACGTCTCCAGTCTAAATTATATTTTTTTATTTTATTCGTTTCATTGACATGGCTTTTTAATATATCCTCTTATTGAAAAAAGTATCTATTACATGACAAGGAGAGACATCTGTCCGTCCTGGGTATGACGATAAATTGCATCCGCGTCCTGGGTAAGAAGATAAACTGCGTCCAACAGCAAGGCCTCTGATCGGGGTGTTTTGAGGAGCGTGGAGCCACCTCTTAATTGCTGATGTTTCCAGATCCACACTGACCTGGACTGGTAGCACATAATCCTAGCTATAAGCAAATAGTTAACCCCAAACTGGGGTCAAAACACTATGAAAGTGTAAAACAGGTTATAATACCAGCAATACATTTTTGTAAAAAATTATTACCAGCAATACATTTTTGAAGAAAAATATTACCAGCATATATTTTTGAAAAAAATATTATCAGCAATACATGTGAAAAAAATATATTACCAACAATACATCTTTGAAAAAATATATTACCAGCAATGCATTTTTGTAAAAAAAAAATTATTACCAGCAATACATTTTTGAAAAAAATATATTACCAGCAATACAGTTTTGAAAAAAAATTATTACCAGCAATGCATTTTTGAAAAAAATATATTACCAGCAATGCATTTTTGAAAAAAATATATTACCAGCAATGCATTTTTGAAAAAAATATATTACCAGCAATACATTTTTGGGAAACTATTGCCGGAAATACTTTTTTTGTAAATTACCTAGCAATAAAAAATTTGTCAGCATTAAATAACCCATTGATTTTGTTATGCCGTAAAACAAACCAAATCAAAAATAGACATCTGTTACATGACGAGGAGAAATCTACACAACCTCCTATCTTTTACAACATAAACAAAATTTGTGCTGTTATTATCTGTCCCAAACACTAATCTGCAATCCATTTCCGCAAGACCTTTACATAACTTAATCGCTGTTTCTCTTTGCACATTGATCCTTGAGTATTATAATGTGAAACTCCCTAAGTCATTAAAACCACTTCATTGCAGCTTCCGTCTATGGTATTTTCAGCATTCATCCCTCGAACAGTATTTTAATTACTTCAAGTCTCATCTTAATATAAGAAGAAAATTGTCCTGTCATATAGTTGTTTGATATTATATAGCAACCCAGCACTATTTTCATTGTTTCTAACTCAATTTTCCTGTGGCTTAATAATTTGTTTAGCTTTTGAAAGGCCTCTTTCGCTATTCCAATGCCCTGTTACAGAAGAAGGAGGCTGAGACAGGCTGATGGGTGATTAGTTAGAATACATCGTGGACGTGGTATTCTGACAGTGATGGATTGCCTTTGTCTAAGTTTTGGGATTTAAGACCAAAACGGCGCGAAGTTGGCAGAGAGTCGCAGGAATTGTGAAGCATCAATACGCTTCCCATGTCGAGAATCCATAGACAGGCTAAGACCACACGTGGAGAGACGTTAAAACAACGAACATGCATTCTCTTAAATCTTCACGCTGCCACCTACAATCGACGCTACCATCTCCTCTAATAGAACGAATAAAAAAAATGTCTTTCGTTGATCCATCTACACCTTTGTGAAAATTAATTGAAACAATCGTTTTAGTTTCCTTTCTTTCAGCATACGAACAGAGTGACAGGGTGTAATCGATTTCTATTTTTTTCCTCTGATTAGGTCATTTGCAGTGCTCTGCAGTAATATGAATCTATTTTCGGGGTGTATGATGAAACTTTTTTGGCCTTGAAAAATATTGCCTTAACGGTGATTGCATCAGATTTTCATCACGGCCAGACACTATTGTCTTGACTGTCGATTAGTTGTCCTACGGCTATTGTCTGCGATGAACGTTACTCCAAGGAAGCGCACAAAATTTGTAACGCTGCACAAACACACTGGCAAGCATTACTAGTGAGGAATTCAAAGTACTATAGACTGGTTCGGAAACTCTCCTGATTTAAATCCAATCGTGAATCTGTGGTCAGTCTGCAAGGAAAGTCTTTGTGGAATTGACATACGAATTACTAACATGTGCACTGAGTCATGTCTTATTGAAAAATAATTTTAAAAAAAGTTAATAATAATGGAAGTATTCGTTTTGTTTCAGTTAATTTGCACAAGGGTGTATGTAATGGCGTTATGGATGGAGGACAGTGACAACACGGAAACTAACACCTTATAATTTCAGTGTCACATTTTTTTGCCATCTGTTATAAGAGTTCCCAGATAATTAACTTTCTGTTCTTATTTGATTTTAACCATTCCAATTAGTAGCACGCATCTTGAGCGATCACTCATGTTAACGACCAAGCATATTGTTTCTTACAACTGAACGTTAGTCCTTTCTTCTCCTTTTCCTTGATTATATTTTCGAGAAATCCCTGCTATGTCTGCTCTTAACACAGTATTATCTGCGTATCTGATGTTCTTAACATTGTGTCTATCAATACTAAATTCTAGTTGGACTTCTGCCTCTCGTGTATTCAAAAACTTTTATTATCGCAAACATTGCGTCCAAAATATTATGTGTAATAATTTGTTATTCTCGTTCATTTGTTCAGTCAAAGGCTTGCGGCAATACATGCATACGTACTCAGTCTTTATCTCTCGTGTAGTAACGCTTTATGTTGCATATTACCATAAGACAAGTAAATAACTATATAC